ACATTTACATTTTTATCAGGAAGGTGTATAAAGAGAGCGAAAGCACATTTTACCTTATCGTAACAACCACGGCCTAAAATTAATTGTGTAATGTATGTAGTGATAAAAACTGACCAAGTTGAAACCCTAAAATGATCCAGATTATAGTCTGCTTTTGTCACGTTTGCACGTGATTGGGTGTTTCGTATGAAGTATGTGCCATAAATTGTGAAAACACTTACAATTTTTCAATGCAAGTTTAGAACTACCTACATTATAACTTTGTTTTCCCTATAAAATAGCACCCGAAACTCACGCGAATTTAAAAAGCCACATTGGTCAAAAACATTTTCGTTCTAGCTAAAACGTTGTATTCAGACAATGGTCCCGTTTTACTAACTAACGATTACGAAATGCAGAATTTTCTTAATTTGTTTTTTTCTCTAAATTGTACGATGCTAATTTTTGTAATCCGAACTAGTTGGTAAAACTGGAGGTGCAGTTTGGATGGGTTCGTAGATAAACAACATCGAATTCATCAAGCGATTTAACAATTATTATTTGGATTATGCTAATTGAAAAGGAATTTGAGTTACTAGTGAATTAACATGGTTTATAAAAATTACAATAAGTATTGTTATGAATGTTCCTAATGTCTTTCCAGCAGACTTTCAGGTTTTTAGCACTCTCCTGAACGGAAACTCTCTAATGTGCTTCCTTCCAAGGAACAGGACCGGAGAACCGAAAACCGGACCGAAACCGAGACTTTTTTCAGGACCGAAAACGAAACCGAAACCGTTATTCCTTCAGAAATTGAAACTTATTGAGAACCGGACTTTTTATTTTTTTTCACACCTATTAATTAACACATTATGTTGTTATAATGAATTTTTTGAATGCTATAAAACTAGAACCGAAAAGAACCTTTATGGACCGAAAAAATGCGCAGAACCAAATTTCACATCTGCTCGGACATCTCCTTGGGCGCACCCACCCTTTTGCCGTCCACTGCCTCCATTGCCATACTTGCCTACCCGCAACCCCGTAGAAGTTAAACATCCTAACACTAAGGACGCACTACTCTCAAATGCTCTTAGTATTCCGTTCGTGAATCGATGGTACAACAACTGACGCATCACCTCCTCTGCCAATCGCAAGCGTCCGCCTCTGTCTGATTCTTCCACTGCACTTGGAAGGTAGCTGTTTAGCCGGAAATGAGAGTACAGACGGACCGACAGATCATCGAAATTTTGTTTGATTCGGATTCCTGATGCTTCAAAACGTGTATTTCCGTCAAAAAAGTGGGGAGGAGGGTCATTTTTCACTCCGATGCAGTACCTCCCTTATTAACTAACTACATGAATATCTACTTCGCGTCGTTTGATAACCTATACCCAGCATCAAAGAATTTTAAGAAAATTCGATTCCAAGAAAAATTCAAAAAGATTCCGAGACAGTCCTAAAGAGCTTCTAAGATGACTTCTATAAGATTCTATTTAGATTCTAATAAAACCTTCAAAAAGTCATAATTAGATTCTATTTTGAAAGCTTGGTAGATTGCTAACGTTATAAAAATTCCAAAAAAGTTCTAAAATGTTATTAAAACGTTGTAAAGATACTCCTGCAAAATACCAATATGATCCTATGGTCTAGAGACCTTACAAAGACAGAGGAGGCGGGGATTCTAAAAACCTTCTAACGATTCTAATAGTTTTCTTTGTAAGTTATCCATTGGTATATACGAGGGGAGATTTTTATGTACCCTACCTAGCCATGAAAACCATGACGAATGGCAATGATTTTTAACTGTCAAGCAGCATCAACATTTATAAGTATTCTGAGCATGTGGCGTACAAATTGTAACAATTTTGTAATTTTGGTAGCGGTTTGAATGTTGAAAAATGGGTGATAGAAAATTTGAACACAGAAGCGTTATAAAAGTTTTGACTAAGGAGGGTCAATGCCCAAAAAATTATCACCGGCGATGAAACCCGGGTGTCTCACTGTGACCCTCCCACAAAACAAGAGTCGATGCAGTGAGTCTCGTCCACCAAAAAAAGGCGAAAACGCAATGTTCAGCAGGAAAATTTATGGCAACGCTATTCTGGGAATGTGAGGGGATTCTGCTGATTGAATACATTCAAAAAGGCACTACGATTGCCGATGATGTTTATAAAGAGACTATTAAAAACGTTAAAGCTGTCATCCGACGGAAAAGGCCTCAGAATTTTGACGATAAGAGCATACTGCTGCACGACAACTGCAGGATGCTCAAGGCTCAAAAAGTTCGACAAGTTCTCTATGAATGTGGGTTCCAGGAGTTAAGGCATCCACCCTACAGTCCGGATTTAGCACCTTGCGACTACTATCTCCTCCTCAATATGAAAAAACATTACGAGGCAAAAGATTTGCTTCTGATAAAGACCTGAAAGTTACTGTTAGTGACTATTTGGAAGAGCTACGAAAAGAATTTTTTTTGAAGGTATCTGTTTTTTATAGAAACGGTGGAATAAGTGCATAGGCGTTGAAGGTTCATATGTAGAGGAATAAATGTTGTTTTGCCTTAAATTCCTTTTCTTTCAAATATAGGTAGATTACATAAAAATCTCCCCTCTCGTACATATCTGCTCAAAAAGGGGTAGCATAAATCAAAATGATTCTAATAGTTTTGAAGTTTATAAGGATTCTGGAGATCCTAAGAAAATCTTCAAAACGTTCTACAGGGACTCTGAGGGTTCCCGATGAAAATTGTAAGATAATTCTAAAATCTTAAGATAGGTAAGAAAAATGTGTGAGAGGATTCAGCCAAGATTTCAAGAAGTTTGTAAGAAGAACGATCAAACGGTTTTATAAACTTTTTAAGAAGACTAATATGAAACTATGTACATCCTAAGGATCTAATAGTTCTAAAACCCCTGCACAGATTCTAAAAATGAGAATTCTAAAAACATTGCAATAAGATGTTTTCAAGATTGTAACGGGAGCCCTTTCATAGGAGATAATTTTCTTTGAATTCTTGTCGGTTACAAATGAATTAAGGCATGGGATTTCTTATGGCGAGAAAAAGTTCAGTCGCTTGTTTTAGTGCTTGATAAGCTCATGTTCACATGTATCGCATCCGGTGCTCAATAAAGTGACGCAGTTTGCAATTTTACAATAGTGTAGGTAGGACTCGAAGAAAGCGGAATGAATTAATGGGTCTGCACCGTTGTAGAAACCACGTCAAGGGATCGGTGATTTTTTAATCTCGCGTTGGAGCTTCGTTGAGCTCTAGTCAAAAATCAGTATTTTTAAATTGTCGGAAAAATCGTCTGAGCGAATTCGGAAAATCAACCGCGAGAAATGTCCACACGGAAGTTCTGAGCATTTATTTCAGGTTCGTGACATAAATCTAAGCAGAAACCATTTCGGTAGGAACGCACTTTGAATAAACAATATGGAAATATTAAGCAGGTAGTGCAATTAGCAATTTTCGGTTTCAGTGGAATTAAACTTTTTCGCAAACCAGCATAATTATGTTAAATTCGTACTGACTTTTCCGGTGAATAAATTATAAGAATGTGACTTTTAAGAAACTCCGGAGCGTTACGCTAATAATCATGTATGTTTGGATAGCGTAAGGCAAGTTGTATTTAGACCGCATATACAAAGAAGTTTTTCGCTTTTCTATTATCCAATTTGAAGGTACCATATTTTAGACCGTAACGTTTTGTACCATAAGAACACCATCCTTTCCACGGAGCGCTATATTTACGTTACTGTAATGATTTTGATTTGTATAAAAATAATGATCACTTCTTTTTAATTTAATTTAAAATTGTACTTGTTGCCAGTTAAATCAAAGCGCAAGGTTTTAGAGACTACACAGGGAGTTGCGTTTTTTATTCAAATATAGGTAAAGCACAAAAGTTCTAAAAATCTAAAAATGGATTCAAAGAGTATGGTTTCGGCAAAGAAATTCTAGAAAAATTGTAAAGTGCGTTATTCAAAATTCGGTAAATATCATTAACAATCGTTTATACTCCTGTGTCTTAAATAGAAAACTTGTTACCATAACAAACAGCCATTTATTTAGTAAATAAAGTTTCTTTCGGTAGAGTTTTGACATTGAGTTGCAATATAAACATCGTTTAGTGCGAGAAGTGGCACTAATTTAGACAATGAATTGTAAATGTTTCATTCGCTATGTTAATTTTTCAATTTGAAATCAACTCGGCAAAGTGTTCGTTTTATATGGCACATAGAAACATCTTGTGTCTAATATATCTTATTCTTCGTACCTAAATTTGTAATTAAAAATAAATTCCATGTTATTTTTTTCTTCATAATTTTTCCAAATTTTAAGTGGCAGTTTAACTCAATACAAACCGGAATCTGTGAGTTTGTTGAACTTGCGGAAATGAAGTGATGAATTTAACAAGCTAATACGTTACGTTCAGAAGCTTACGGCGCTTTTACAAGCGCGGACGCTAACAAAAGGAGTAACTGTTGGGAAACTAAAGACTGCTAACTAGATAACCAACAACGCATTGACTAAATTCTATTTGAATTTATTAGTCAAATAATTATTGAAGCACCTTTTCCAAAGCTACGGTTTAAATCTCGACACCGATCTGTATTCATATTTTGGAGCAACCCTCAGATTAACACATTTGGTTTATCTCACAAATTTACCTACTCAGAAAATGCGTTGAAATGTGTCTTCTACCTATTTGTTCACGCCGTTGTTTACGGTAAGTAACAAACCGAAAGCTCTCGTTAGAAGAATATCATTCGCTTTTTCGGGAAGGTTTATGTTTAATGCGCTGAATAGCATTTCAGAATGTGTGAGCGTTCTCCGACTGAGTCCTTTGCAATACTCCCAAGCCATTTACATTCTATAGATGAAATCACATTTTGAGAGCAGGAACGTTATGTAAATTTTTTAGGTATTCAATGCGTAGATAGAAACATTTAGTTTAGATGAACCGTACTATAAAGTTGTCACCAGGCGATTAAAATGCAATTTTTTTTATTTTCAGAACGTGGGAAGCCGTAGCTGTTGACGAGAACAAGGCAGAAACAGATGCGCACTGATTTAGAAATATGTTGGTAATTAACGCCGGAAGCACACCAATCAAAGCGATCTGCCTACGGCATATGCCATTTGGACATCTGTGCACGAAACAAAGGTAGCACAGATCGCAATAATAAAACTCGCGAATTTACCTGTTGCTGTAGCGAATCGATATGAAAAGAGCATGAATCGCCATACAGTAATAAAATTGAACAAAATAACCGGCAGTCTATAAATAATGAATCAGAAGACTACAATACTTGTAGCGCCTCCATTACAAAACAGCAGTTGTTCACACTCACGTTACATCCACTTGAGCTTTTTATCTGAACTTGGACCTGGAGATGTTTTGGAAGCACTAATTGTTTTTATGTTAACGACCGGAGTCCTGGCTGCAAACTCTATACTTATTCTGGTCATAAACAGTAGAAGATATTCAAAGTACATACACTCTCAGGTACGTACAATTTGATTAGACCGTAAAAATAAACTATTACTGCCTTTTCAGTGTTTACGACTAAATTATACTTTTTATGCATTCTTGTAAGCAAATCCCCTTGTTATTTTTTAAGACATTCTACCCTCTAATTTGAACTTTACATACGTAATCAAAATTTTAGCATTAGCTAATGTACACTGTTAGCTGGAAAATGTTTCAGTTTGTGATAACAGCATGAGATTTTTTTCCTCTTTCGTCATGCACGTACCATTAAATTGTCGCCCGAGTTGATTATGTCACCCGTGATCACCCGTAAATCTGGAACTACGTTGTAGCCAGTCATTTCAGGAACGGCTGATTTTCATATTTGACCATCGTTGCGCCGGCAATCAAATTGTCCCAGTATAGGCCAGGCGAGAAGTGTAAGATCTTAAGTTCGGCAAATCTTGAGATATTTTGGTGACAAGTGTTTTTAGGGTAATTGGACCCTACTGAATCCTTTTTGGCCTGTCACCGCCTCGAAATCCCGTTAAAAGCCCCAAATCAAGCTGGGCGCCAAAATGGTGACTAAAGCTCACTATATTCTTGTTGTAAACAAAGATATTATTATGATCTTTTATCTAGTACGTATACGTTTTACTATTTATTACTATCTTATAAATGTGTAGCAAAAATAAATCAAGATGGCTGTCAAAATGGCGGTAGAAACTTGCGTTAACTAATTTCTTTAATTGAAAAGAAAAAATTTGCATTTTTTTTATATGATAGGGGTACAAATGGGTTAAAATGTGTTTGTCTACCCATGATTGTTAATAATAACAATTTGCAAAAAAAATAAAAGAAAATGGTTCCCAAAATGCTGGTATTTTTGACTTTTGATGATATTTTAATATAATAGCAATTACTGAAATTTTTTGCGTTAAATAAATATTAATAATTATATTTTAAAATCCTTATAAAGTTTTTAGCGCATTTTTTAAGAATTAAAAAAAATTTGCTATTGTTTGCGTTTTGTCCGTCCGTCCGTCCGTCCGGATCCGCTTATGCCATCTTGAACTACTTCTAGGGAAATGGTCCTAGAATCCTGGATTTTTTTGCAGTAGGTAGCTTATACCTTGAAGGTGTGCCAGACGGCCTTCAAGTTTCGCTGCCTAAAAGGGAATTATTTCCTGAGTTGCTGTTTTTGAAAGTAAAACGTGCACAACTGTTACATTGGTTACAATTGCTCTCAGACTTTGCATGTCTTCAGTGGTGCCAAGTTAAACTTTTGAAAATTGGAGGCGGGGGGGGGGGGGGATAAACACATGTTCTAACCTTAATGGTATTCTAATGAAAGGTCTCATCGAAATAAATTGGTTTGTACAAAGTATAACTTTCCCGTGCGATTATTTTTCGAGATCAGTGTGACACGGGGCTTAAGGGGGGGGGGGTAAAAATTAATTTATCCCTCATTGTATTCTAATTAAAGGTCTCAACGAAAGGAACCGTTTTCTACAAACTACTGCCCTTCTTTTTGTCCTCTTATCAAAGTTTTTTTTAGAATTTACAGTTCAAAATTGATAGGACAGGGTTTCTATGGAAGGAAGTAGTTTGGAGTCGCAGAAGGAGTTAAATGTACTTAGAATTAAATTACAAAAGAGGGGTTGTATGTAAGTCTTTGAAGAAAGGGAGAGAATCTGGGAAAAAGAGGTTCTGACCAAGATTTCAAATTTCGTTCAAGGGAATTGAGGGCTTTCTATAAATTGTTTGTTAATAGCATACATTTATAATGAAGACCTCAGATTTGACATTTGGGGAATTAACGCCATTCACAAATAATATTGTATCCACCCTTTTTGAATTAGTTTTAACTAAATTTATTTCCCTACTCGAGCCGTCAGCAGGAACCAGGTAACTCGTTAATTTTCATTGACACTTTATTAATTTCCCAAACAGATATTTGTTACACCGTCAATTTTCATTATGTAAACACGCTGTGTCATCTACCGTTTGTTTAGAATGTGTGGGTCGCCAACATAAAAGGCGAAGTTAAACTAAGAAAGGAGATAGCTATATAAAGGTTATGTTAACGTGCAGTTCCAACGTCAAGGAATTTAGAGGTATTTTTGTAATAATAAAATACTAGAATTTCAAGCGAGCCAGTATACATTCTTAAATAAAACTCTATTGAGTAGCGAAAGAACACAATAAACCATTTTCATCGCAATTAGCGCATTTCCTAATTTGCATTTATACTTCATTCATTATAAGAAGGTAGTAGATGGCGCTGGGTTTGAAGATAAGCACACACAGGAAAAATATAAACGACACCAAATGATTGTAAAGTAGAAATATCTAGCACTGCAAACACAAATCAATCTTTGACATTAATAGTTAATGACACTTCAATAGTTTAGATGCCAACAGAAACTACCAGCTTGCAAAATTCGCCACTCGTTTTATGTTTCAGCGTAATACTGACTTGTGTTTTAACCAATCACACTGAAGGTCAAATCTTCCCTATGTTTTTTACCGCTACCTTCTTAAAATGAATACAGTATAGTTATTCGTAACCTTGTACGCGTCACGTTGCGATTTTCGTACGAGCGGCATCTGGGTGGCTGTCTATAGTAAACTTGCGAGACTGCTAATTAACTTAGGTGTTACAATCGTGTTACTAGAAAAGTCTTTCGCGCAAAATGAAGTATTAATACGCTTGTATTACGTGTTCCAAGTTCATAAACACTTATTAATTAACGCGTTATCAGCAAAAACACACCTTGACATTAGAAAAGTTGAAGCTGCATAATTTTGATGGGAACCAATGAACTGTTAGGAGAAAAGTAATTAGAGGTGTAGCAATTCAACTACTGCATTATATTTCAATCGCCGTGAATTAAAATCTGCAAGGGTGATTTTGTTTCCATTGATTTATTAAGTAACTTACATTTAAAAGAACTATTAATGCCTTAGATGTAAAGTTTTTAAATTTCAACAATGTTAAGCAGACTTTATTATAAAAAAGGTCCACTTAGCTGTAAAAAAAAGAAAAAATCCTGAAGGGTGACCACTTAGGTTTTGAGTATTTTAAGTTCATTATAAAACCGAACCCACAGATTTTATTATTTTACCCTAAATATGAACTAACCCGAAATTTATAACAAAAGTGGTTGGTGTCTTGGTGTGTGAACGAACTGAAATTATTTAGAAATTTGGATTCAGTATACATAATATTATTATTGAGTTGTTATTATCGACCAGATCGATTAGAGGTTTCGTATGTTGAGGGAGGTCAGATGCAGTCAGCGTTTCTATGTTAAGGAGTACATAAAGAAAATAGTTATGATACCATAGAAGGCCCTAAGGTACGTTCGAATGGTTTACATTCGATTGATCCAGTCCGTGTAATACACGCACCTATAAAATTGAAAATATGAGCACTTTTCTGTCGCAACGCGAACGAATTATTAAGATTATAGTGTTTCTTTTTCAGGTTTTGTTTACCCAAGCGGTACAAGGTTTCTATTGTTTTCACGCGCAATGTAGATTTTATGGAAGTTCTGTACGGTTATAGAAAATCGAAATAAACTACTTAAATTGAATGAGTCAGGTAAAAATAGATAATGAACGACTAATACGAGAACCCACCTTAACAACTAACGATAGTGGTATTAGATATATCCTTAATAAACTCTGCAACTCTACCTTTATTGTTACATCAATGCTGTTAACATATTGCGCACACAAGATTCCCCGAGCGCCTTTAAGAGCCATTCCGTTGCGTAATGGGGTTCCTTCTATTACTTTGCAGGAGGGCAGGCTGCTATTAAAATTAACCAGTTTAATAAATTTCTATTTATTATTCTATCGACTTACCAGTAGTTGCATGTGATAATATTCGACAGGGGTTTGCTGTATTAAATAGTCCTACGATCTTACGATAAAGCGGACCCACATTTAAGCTACCCAAATGTCGTGGTTAGAAAACAAAGCCCTATGGGAGAGGTCGCTGAAATGCATAGATATGGTCGGCATTATTAAATTAATAGCGTATACAGTTTTCCCATTACCCGAATTAACTTGTTTGCCTCAGCAATTTTTACTTCACACTGATCCTTGCAAACTACTTCACTAAAGATAATACCAACCCTAGATTAACAATATTATTTTGTGGACACCCTGAAGGATTTCCTGTAGGCACGAGTGGTCAAATTATTTACATAATATTGACTGGTCCCTTATGACTAGTCATGAACACGATTTAAATAAGATGGATGGTGCTTTTGCGAATAGACGAGAAGTGTCTCATGGAAAAATTCTCTTTACAGTGTTCTCGATCGAATTAGTTGTTTGTGTGTGAATATACAACATGTTTACGAAAGTTTCCGCCCTATGGACCATTTCCCGATTATACTCGTACTTTGCAACTCAGCATAGTAACTTGATTTAAAATCTTTCAGTAGGTTACGTTTGTTGCTGCTTCTTCATCAATTTTGACATACACAATTGAATAAATAATCTAAAACTCGGATATTATCATAATTTTTATGTAGTACATACCGTTTAGTATTTATTACCGTCCTATAAAAAATCACAATGGCGGTCAAAATGGTGGTAGAAACTTGTGTTAACTATTTTCCTTAGGTAATTGCAAAGAAAAATTTGCATTTTTTTATATGCGGTTGGTACAACTGGGTTAAAATGAGTTTGTCTACTCATCCTTGTTAATAATGACAATTTGCTAAAAAAAACAGAATGGTTCCCAAAATGCCGGCATTGGTTTTGATTTCGTTCCGGTTTACAAGATCTATTAGAGATAGTCTATGGGATCTGTCTTCTTTATCAGAAGTACTTCTAATGATTGCAAGATACGATCATTATAGTTATCTAAAATCAATGACAGTTACCTTGCGGAAATGAAAAATTTTGTTTTGTTTTCGATTTATACATAGTTTCTATACGGTAATAAATAATATGAAATTAAACGAAAAATAATTATTTTAATACTACCTGTATATCGCATACAAAGAGTCAAACTAAGCGCCATTTTTGAAAAAGTGTAAAGGTTTTTTCACTTAAGCAAGCATTGGCAAACAAATTATAATTCTTTTTCCCACTTAAGGTACAAGTACCTACAATAAATTAAGAATTCTACAAAACGCCGTATTGGAGCGCCATTTCAGCCGCCATCTTAATTTTTATTTTGTGCAAAATTTTTCATAAAGTAGTAATAAGTGGAAAAACGTGTGTGTTACATAAAAATCATGACAATATTTCTGTTTTCAACAAGAAAAATATGTTAATGTGAGTTTTAGTCGCCATTTTGGCCGCCATCTAGGTTTGAGTCCTTAGCAAAATCGGATTCAGGAGAGTCCAATTACCCTAAAAACACATTAAAACTCTTTGTGTCACGATTTGTCGTTAGAACCTTTACAATGCGCTTTACTTTACGAGAAACATTATTCCCTTTCAATTCATGAAAACTCAATAAATCTAAACGAGCGTGTTCGTCGAGAATAACCCTTTCAACGCGTTTTACTACCCTTAAATGTATATTTCATGTGAAATATAGGTATCTATCTAAACCAGATGTTATTGTTGCAGCCGAAATATCTTCTAACTTCACTTGCAAGCAACGATCTAGCGATGGGTCTGCTTGTGACACCCTTCGCTATAGTACCTTCATTACGCCGCTGCTGGCCCTATGGCGAACTAGTGTGCCAAATACAGGTAAGCCTTTTTATTATATGCCGAACAAACTACGCAAAGCTTTGTGTTGTGAGTCGCGGAACAGACTTTATATGCGCTTTAGCATTATCTGCTAACTGCAATTTGTCATGCAAATAGTATAACAACAGGATTTAAAGTAGGTAGTTTTGGGTGTAAGCCTTACAAACGTGAATGCTTAACAGATTAGTAAAACTTCAACTTTAATCGTCTTTAATTAGAAAACTTGTCAGTAAATATACAAATGACCATAATTTTGCAAACTTTATTCCCATTAGCGCGAAACACTCCTTGCGGTTTAACTTTTAATTTCTAAACGAGAGCGTCACAATTTGCTTCTTAGAGATAATTACCAAATTATTTACTTGGAATATGAAGTGGGTAAAGTTCCTTTCGCATGATTTAAATTAATTTACTGCTTTAATATAAATGGAATGAAATCCAAATGAAAATAAGCGATTCCAGACTTACGAATTAACATTTCTAATGAATATTGACAAATATCCTTACATCTGAATCAGTACCCATACGTCATGAGCACTTTCCCATTCCTAATAATAAAACTCCAGTACCATGTCTTTGACTTTGCTTTGAACTCTTTATGTGAGGGTTGTTGCAAACTAAATCAATTGTTGCATCCTGATAAAATTTATTAATTATTTACACAATAGTGCGCTAATCACATCGGTGTTGTTAATGCTAATTATAATATACACACGTAACGTATATTGTTGTGTTTATTTCGTTTGGCAGGATGAAATTTTCGGAAATCTTAAGTAAGATGGACAAGGGCGGTCTCCTTTTTGTGTAATTAACATTTTAATTAAAATTTTTAATTTGGCGTTGGTCTATGTGACGACACGGAGATTATTGTCATACGAGAAAGTGGTCAAGGTTGTTTTTGTTTACCGTAGAACCTTCTGGGAATTTTGATTGGACTTTGTCTGTTATGAAATGTAAATGATTAATTTAATTGACAGGTGGATGTGATTTATCGCCTTTTCTGTGTAGTTAAGAGAGACGAAATTTTATTTTTTTCCTAGAATTTCAGTCTCTTAATGTCTGATAAGAAATTGATTTATTAAAATTAATATAATTTACCTTAATTTTTCTTGGCCTACTAATGTACGTTGAGGGGAGAGTCTTTGTTGTCAACGGTGTATGATTGGTTGTTATAATTTTAATTTTCGGAAGAAGGGTCTTCGCCTTAAATAGGATGTGAAGAAGAAAAGCGCCGCGTTTTGCCAGAGTTTACGCAGTATTACATTTGTTGAAGTTTTGAAATCGGCTCTTTGCTACGTCAGCACCAAGTTACGTTTCGTAGAAGAATTTATTTCGCTTTTTGCGAATTCCATTGTGGATTATTTGAGTTGAATGAAACCACAGCCAGCATTGAAAGTTTTGTGTGTTAAGCCGGAAGCCGAGTTCACGGCTAATTATTATTGTTCTACGTTTGGAAGTTTGAAGTTTTGGCCATCTAAGGTTTCGGAGAGGTGTTTGTCGGCCCCCCATAAGTGTGTTTTTAACATGACAGTTTGAAATTAAGTTTTTTTTAAATTGGAACGTCCTTGTCTACCCGAAGTGAAGATGTTACGATTACCCGGTCGCTAGTGTAAAGTGTGTTAATTAAAAATTGTAATTTTTGGTGAACTGTGTACGGATACCTTTTAGTTGGATTACAATTCCCGGACAAGTAAGTAGTTAAGTTTTAATTTTAGTTTTTTTGTAATAATTATTTGTGTGTTTGTACCATTTTCCTTTTGTGTGTTACGATTAAATCGCACTTTTGTAATTCTCACATTAAATTTCCGTGTGTTTCATTCACAACGACATCATTTCTAATTTACCTGTGTTTTTATTGGATGCTTGCCCAAGGTCCATTGTAAGAATTCAATATTTGCAGTTCAGTTTGGAGTTTAAGGTATTTGGTCTGACCCACTATCTGTTAGAAGTTAACAGGTTAATTGAGAGCAGAGTCGAATCTCTCCTCTGTAGTGGGGAGAAGTTTTGTGCCGTGATAATACATAATAGTCCAGGCTAAATAGCTCTAAAATGATTTATTTTCAAACAAAATTAGTTACCGGGCGAAACCGGTTTTTTCAGGCAGGTGAAATGAATAGAAATTGGGAAAAAATAATTAAAACAGCTGAATTTTTCCGCGGGTGAAATCACGGGGGTTAAAAGGGGTGGAAAGTGGTATTTTGCAAATTATGGCAAAACTATTGATTTTAGACGAAAATGTTAAATGTAAAAGTTATAGAGATTTAAAAAATGAGCGACTTTTGTATCTGCACTATTTTCACATAACCTCCAATTTTCCTAGAAAAACCGGAAAAACTGTTTTTTTCATTTTTTATTCTTATTTTTGCGAAAAAATGTCGTAGGGGTTTGAAATTTGGAGGTAACATAGCCTGTTTTATGATAAAACAGAAGATAATTGTTTGGGCCCATAAAGTTGAACCGTTTCCAAGATCTCACGATTTCTGTAAAAAATCACCGCTTTTTCAAGGGGACTAAAAATCTATTTTTTTTTATCGTACAGAGATGCGCAGGGTAGCACAATTTTCGTAACGACTACATTTTAATAATCAAAAATAAACAATATTATTCCAATAGAAAAATTTCAAGAAAAGCGGCAAAAACGGGGGGAAAAGTTTTAAGATACACCGTTTTTGACAGTAGGTAAATAGGCTTTTTTGCAAATAAATTAACGTGTTTTATCCGCGCTAATAAAAAGTTTTGGAAATCAGTCTTCTCTCTCCTCTGTAATCTTGCTAAAATATTTTCTTTTTTTTCCCAGTGCCCAACTGCCTTAATTAAAACAACTTTATTATTACTTTTTTCTGCGCATTTTTATTGCAATAAAAGCAATTCGAAGTAAAATCGAATTCTTTTGCTTCCTGAACAATATGTGTTTGTTCACTTTCTCTCTTCCTGCCTGTTTTACAGCTGATGGGATTAAGCTGGGCCTGTTGATCGTTAATTTACAGGAATTATGAATAAAATCCTCATAAAATTTATTCCTGCAGGTTTGATATCTCAAATCATTTGCTTTTGGCCGGTAAAACCAACGTTCTTATTGCAGATTTTGCAAGTTTATCAACAGGCCCAACGCAATTGCATCAGCTATAAAACAAGCAGGAAGAAGCATCAGTGAACAAAAGTAAATTGTTCAAAAATCAGGAAGCAAGATACATAATTCGATTTTATTTCGAATTGCTTTTATTGCGGTAAAAATGCAGAAAAAAGAAATAATAAAGATGTTTTAACTAAAACAGTTGAGCATAAGATAACAAAAGAGAATATTTAGGCAAACATTAAAGAGAAGGAAGAAGACAGATTTCGAAAAAATCTTTATTAACATCCAACATGTTGATTTATCATGTCAAAAACCGTGTATATCTTAAAACTGTTTTTCCGGTTTTTGGCGATTTTCCGAATTTTTGCTATAGGAATAATATTTTTTTATTTTTGTTTATTAAAATATAAGTCTTCCCGAAAATGACCCCGCGCACCTCTGTACGATGAAAAAAAATAGATTTTTCATCCCCTTGAAAAAGAGGTGGTTTTTTTCAGAAATCGTGAGATCTTGGAAACGGTTCAACTTTATGGGCCCAAACAATTATCTTCTGTTTTATCATAAAACAGGCTATGTTACCTCCAAATTTCAAACCCCTACGACATTTTTTCGCAAAAATAAGAATAAAAAACGAAAAAAACAGTTTTTCCGGTTTTTCTAGGAAAATTGGAGGTTATGTGAAAATAGTGCAGATACAAAAGTTGCTCATTTTTTTAATCTCTATAACTTTTACATTTAACATTTTCGTCTAAAATCAATAGTTTTACCACAGTTTGCAAAATACCACTTTCCACCCCTTTCAACCCCCGTGATTTCACCCGCGGAAAAATTCAGCTGTTTTAATTATTTTTTCCCAAATTCTATTTATTCCACCTGCCTGAAAAACCCGGTTTCGCCCGGTAACTATTTTTTTTCATACAAAAATATTATATAGTATGGACTATAAAGGTAAAGGGCTAGCTAGGTTTTGTTTTGGTGTTTTGTGTACGGTCTTCCTGGCCTGAGGACCAGTGCACACAGCAATATAATTCTCAGAGGGGACATAATGGGTGTACCCCTTTTTACGGAAAAAATAGAATTGGTATTAGACCAAAGCAAATAAGCCTTAATCACAAAACAACCTACGCTGGAATTGAGGTAAAGTAATATTTCAGCTTACAAATAAGAGCGACAATTGGGTAGACAATGTCGATACTTAATTCTACACAGAGGGAAACTGGCTTCCTGCACATTTATCTCGATGAACAACTAAACATGGAAGGTATGAATAGTGAACTCAATGGGCTCATCCCGCCTTCATTTTTTATTTCTGATCCACAAAGTACATTAAAAATAAAAAGACCCGTGTGTCCTCAATTTTTATTTGCGAGTAAAATAAACCCAAAATAAATTATTGAAAAGCTGTGTTTTTAGTCCGAATTTGAAACGCTTCAGACTAAATACGTCACAAACCTACAACCAATCACGTAGAAGTGAGCTGGCAACCTTACGCGAGGGTCTGACGTTTGTCACATTTGACGTTTTGAGAGGGATGTTTAACTGCATCTAGCACGAAAGTGACAAGTGCCTGTGACAGATGACGCAAGTTATAAATGCCATTCTCCTGCAATATTGCCAAGTCGTTATGTCATCTGAATGGTTCTAGGAGCTGATTGGTCGGGCTTATTACGTCACAGAGCCCGCCACAATCATATCGTTTTGAATAAACCTTTAAAACCGCACATGTTCATTATTTTTTTGCTAATCAGCCTCTATTTTTAAATAAACTTTTACTGTCCAAAAAAATGTTTTATGGTTTCAGGTACACGCTTATTAAATTAGAACTGCGGAATTCAACTACACTGTAAACCCCCATTGTTATAATTATGCCCCTATTGAGCTCTCACGAACGTGAATCTTTGTACTGAGATACACAGACACGTTT